ATTGAGAGGTCGTTTGCATACTTCGTGATCTGGTTCTTCGTAACTTTTCCATCATTGTATCACTGGAATCTGAACTCATTTTGCATGTGTGAAAAAGAGTCGCATGAAGAAGAGTGGCATGTTAACTTTCAACAACTACACCAAGAGATAAATCAGATGAAGAAAAAAAAGAGCTACTCCGAGGTTTTTTTTCCTCCGAAATTTCGATAGATCGACAAATTAGATCTGGATAATTGACTTGTGCGAAAAACGGGACGGACTTCTTGTTGGTCGACTGATTGAGGTGCAGGGTGGTATTCAATTTAACCTGACGTCAAGCATGAGAACTCGGGCTTCACAAGCTTGTGATTGAAGAATTACAAGTTGATGGCTGCACTTGGCAGGGGGTCTCGGGGGGGTCTCATTGTGCCTGCTCAATAATACCTGGATATATGCACACTAATGCGATAATCTGCGAAGATTGTTAAGATAGGATCAAGTACCGTCCGCTAAAAGAACTTGAATTGTCGATCAATGTCATTACTCAGTAGACCTGCTCCAGGCCAGACTGAGATAAGGTGGGAAGTGCCATGTCAATGTCCATGCAGATGCAAATGCAAATGCAGGTTACTTGTGCAAAATCCCGCAAAAAGAATGTAACAATGCAATATCAGAGTAGCTTCCGCGGTACACATGTGAAGGTTCCATCTAAGAAGCTTGATTTAATGACTGGTGAAAAGTTTACGAACATGGTACCTTTGCCGGTCGTTCGCCAATCAAATCTTTCTAACGGTTGGTTTTGCCGACGCTAAACCCTATATTCCATGGTATCTCCGTGATTAGCTCACGACAACCCACATCACGATCAACAGACAGACTTGAGGGGTGAATGGACACGAACGACACAATATATTGGGGTACGAGGGTACCCATGAAGATGGTGAAAAGGCCGTGAGAACTTCCCGCTGATCTTCCAATATTTCTCCAATATATTCCACTTTTGATATGGATTGCACCCCGTACACCCCGCATTATTGGACGTGCACGAACCTCGGGGAAGAAGTTCACGAAGAAAATCTAAACGTTGTCAATTATTGCTTGTGATCGTATTTCAAAACTCAATAGCAGCACTAACGATGCCTATGTGTGGAAAGCCGATCGATTGAGACATGCATAACTCTGGATGCTCATGGCTTCGCACAGCATGCTGGCATGACAATTTCTTCAAAATTCATTTACAACTGTAACTTCTCCATCGATTTTGATTCTCAGCACCTTTCGCAACATCTTCAAGCTTGTGAATGATAAAGGTGTTTTAAAAATGCCTAGCGGATATCAAGGTATCCTCGACAATGGATTCATGGAGGAGATCAAAACAGATCAGCCGTTGTTGTCTCCAATCGTCACCAAATCGCCCACGAAATACTGGAAACCTAAAAAGCTGTGTCCGGATTTTATAAAGCCTTCATTTCTAAGTAGGACGAGAGCGCCTGCTAAACCACTCCATGCAACTGCCTGGCTTGATGGATTGAGAGGTTATGCAGCATTTCTGGTGTACGTTCTACATCATGAACTATGGGCCCACACTTTAGCGTATGGCAATTGGATCTTGGAGATGGGGTTTGGCTATGAGAAGAAATACTATGCGATTCAATTGCCTTTCGTTCGAACATTCTTCACCGGTGGCCATCTCGCTGTGACCACGTTTTTCGTGATTTCAGGATATGTTCTCTCCAGAAAGCCATTGATGCTCATTCAATCCGGAGATTTGGCAAAGCTTGGAGATAATCTGGCATCAGCATTATTCAGGCGTTGGATAAGATTATGGCTTCCAGTAATTGCCACGACCTTCATATATCTCACCATATGGCACGTGTTTAATCTCTATCCACTGCCTAGGTCTGAACATGAAAAAACTTGGACCGGTGAGGTATGGAAATGGTACTTGGAGACCAAGAACTTCAGCTACATTTTCAGGACTGGTGGAGATCCTTGGTTCACTTATAATGTCCATGTGTGGTCGATACCAGTTGAATTGAAGGGTTCCATTACCATTTATACGGCTCTCGTGGCATTCTCAAGATGCTCACGAAATGCGAGACTCTACCTCGAGTTCGGATTGATATACTACTTCATGTATATCGCGGATGGCGCTCACAATGCAATGTTTGTGGCTGGTATGCTTCTCTGCGATCTTGATCTGCTCGCCGAAAATGATGACTTGCCTCGTTTCTTTTCTAGATTCGATTCTTGGAAAGAGCTCATTTTCTCTAACCTCTTTGTTGCCGCTATGTATCTTGGAGGTGTGCCTACTTTTGATTTGGACGAGAAAGTATTGAGAAACACTCCTGGGTGGCATTATCTATCCTATCTGAAGCCACAAGCCGTGTTTGATTACAAATGGTTCTATCTGTTCTTTGCCGCGACATTTCTCGTGGCATCTATTCCTCGAATCCCATGGCTAAAGAGCTTCTTTGAAACTCGATTTTGCCAATATATGGGACATATATCTTTCGCATTCTATCTTGTGCATGGGCCCATCATGGCACTTCTCGGCGATAGATTATACTCCGCGGTCGGCTGGTCAAAAGAGATGTCGGATGAAATGGCACCGTGGAGAAATATATTCCCAATATCGAAAGTCGGGCCATTCGGGATGGAGCTGAGCTTCTTCATTCCCCATTTGATCCTCTTCCCTGTTACAATTTGGATTGCGGAGATTGTCACGAGATTGATTGATGAACCCAGTGTGAGGTTTGCGCAATGGCTATACAGAAGAACTCTTGCACCATCACCTCGTTTGTAGAATTATGGAGCCAAATATTGGGTATCGATGTACTTGTCAGCTCGTTTATGCGTTTTTTTTAATTAGATTAGATGTCATGGATTGTGCCTTGTAATGACGAAGACCGGCTCGGTCAGTTACCTTAAAAATTGTCTGACTGCAGCCCTTCATGCGGTGCCTTTAAAATCAATACCAACAATTGGTTCGTCAACACAGTCATGCCGCTTTTATTCATGTACCCCTGAAGCCACCTTATCAAAATTCTCAAGTTTACCCCGCGGAGTCCGTCCGAGGTCAATAGGCAAAATGCATCTACAGGGGACGGGCTTTTGCATATGTAACTTCACAATCTTTGTTCAAGTGAGAGATAAGATTACTTGCCACCAGAATATTGCAAAACAGGCCAAAAATTAACTTCCCACACCTCCATAACCTTACCTCAACTTCATTTCCTTCTCAATGCCGGCCACACACTATGATTGTTCGTCCTGGAGCTCTGCTCCGATTCTTGCCATTCATTGTGATATCTTGTGTTATCTTGTATCATAGTTGGAATTCAGTGCGACCTACCCAAAGCATATATTCCTCCGCATATACAGCGCATCCTCAAGCTGGAAGGTATTTTGAACAAGTATTTTCGGTAAATAAGCCGGCAGATTATGATTTTCCAGCTCTCAAACAACAATGCGAGGAGACGGAATGGCCGAAAAACGAGGTGTACTTAGATTGCAGTGGCATTTTTGCGGGATTGACAACAATCGTGTCTCAAGTAAAGGTTTGCTTGAAGATGGCCTTGGAGTCTGGCCATGGATTGGTTCTACCATCGATTCACTATCGCGATAAAGATAACTTGCAAGAACTCAACCGGTTCAATGAGAAGGCATCTATGACTTATGGCGAATGGTTTGAAGAAGCTCATTTACTAGAGCAAATGACGAAAGCTTGTCCACAGATGCGAATCATCAAGCCTCGTGAAATCGAGTCTGGTGAAGTTGTTGTGCAACATCGCTGGCCAATAGAACTCTCAGCCAAAACTGCTCCGGGGCTTGCTCTATTCAAGGGATATTTCTGGAAAGGAAGGGGTTTCAAAGATTTCTTTGACGCTCAATATACTCAATTGGAACAACTTTTCTTGTTAAATCCTGGAAACAAGCTTAATCATGGAGCTGGCATAATTGCCATAGAGATTAATCCTCAGTTCCTAATCTTCAGAATCACAGACGATGCGACTGGACAAGATCTTAAATTATGGAATGACCTGGGGTATCTCGTCCGGTTTAAAGAGCCTCCTCGCAGGGTCGTCGATCGACTTTTAACTCAAATAGATCGTCCTTTCTATGGAGTACATTTCAGAGTAGAATCCGATCAAATCTGGAGCTCCCTTGAAAGTCAGCTTCAGAAAGATCTAGATGCTTTGGATCGCGCATGGCAGAAATACGGTAGTCCTAGCGAGGAAAAACCTTTGGTCTATTTGGCTTGCGGAGATCAAAATCAAGTGTTGAAATTCGTGGAGGCCGGGAAAGCCAGAGGTTGGAACGTCACACATAAGTGGAAACTGGCAGAGAAAGATGCCAATACTTTGAAGACCATCAACAAACTAAGTTTTGATTTTCAGGGTGCTATTGATATGGGAGTGATGCTCAACAGCCACTTTTTCTTGGGGATTACCGGGAGCGCGTTCTCATCTTCTGTTGCGAACGCTCGTGATTCCACTGGAAGATATCGAGGAAGTTCTTTCTCGCTGTTTGATGATGGAGGTGCAAGAACTCATCTTTTCAATGATGGCGAGTCGAATTATTATCCTTGTTGCTTGTAATAATGCCATTTTCCGGATGAAGCAAGAGCAAAGTCATATGTTTCAAGGCATTCGGAGAAGGGGCGTTTGTCATTTACTTGATTTTTTGATTCTTTATACCCCTAGAAGTAAGCAAGACCGAATAGAAATGTATCCTAAAAACAAGTTCTTTTTGCTGCAACATACATTGTATTTTGTAAATGTTCCAATGTATCCTCTGATTGTTCTAGCTCAATTGTCAAATCGATGCCAAGGCATTTCTTATTCCTTATTTCATAGCTATGATCTTAACCGTATCTCATGCGATTCGAATAGCATTACTTAACGCCCAATGGATATGATATATAACTTCTAGTTATAGCTTAAGCTATTCCATTCGAAGAAATGGTTGCTCTGTACCCGCAATAATTTGCCGAGATTCACCCCTTCATTCTCGTCAGAATGGTTACAGACGAATGGTACGTCCAGGTAAGCGAAGCACTTGATTACTATTATGTCACCTATTTCACGATTGCTAATACATCACGCCAGACAGGTTCTTGAAAAAGATTTAATATAAAGTAACTGTGATAGAACTTTGTTTCTGCTCTACCGACGCGCCAGTGCAACAGGGCATTATCAAGAGAAGTTTTCATGCGCTTAGTATCACTTAGTATTGGGTGCTCGCAGAGCAACCTTTTACTAACTATTACACTGATCTAGGCAACTGAAGAGACCACATCCTTCCCAAACTTGTTAAGTCCTGTGATAACTGAGTTTCCATCCACTTGCGCTTTTCGTACCAAACTCCACCAAGCAAAAAATCCAACTCCCGCAGAAAATCACATCATGTATTGTAGATTTCATTTCCATTACGCCTGAGAGCGAAGTTGATCAGACGAAAGACCAACTTTCAAACCGTCCATAGCCAAAGTTTCTTCCGGACCCCCACATTAGTATACAACGGTTCGGAAAATTGACCAATGATTGTGGTGATCTAATTGAAATCGCAGTTGTTGCATTCATAGTGACCACAGCTATTGCAAGAGGTGGCTCCTGGTGCACCCGCAATGAGAGAAGTGCTCTGACCACATTTGCAACAGGTCATGATGGTTACTGCATCAACAGCTGGGCCGCCGAACTCGTCGAGGTTGGTTGGGTTATTCATGGTGATATATTCGGCAAGAATTGGGGTAGTTTGGTTTTGAGAAACAACGGTCTTGAGCTTCTGATAGCACATGGCGATTATCTTGTCAAGTGTTTCGGCTTTTTGTTTCGCTGAAAGATGAAGTTGATTGAGACGATTGAGCTTGTTGGTATCGGGTGATTTGATTGATCGGGGGTCAATAATAGAGTTGTAGATTATCGAAGAATTGTATTTTGGACCTGAAGTATTGTAAAATGAAAGAGGGATAGAGGACGTGAAGAATACCGATTAAGTAGCTAGAATTTTGCAACATCGCGGCATATCTTTCACAATTACAGAACGGCCGTACTGTAAAGATTCACCAACGTTGTTCCAGAACAACACCGTATGAAATGAGAATGCAATAATAGTACAGGAGATTGCGAATATAAATAGCATCGAGTTCTGTTCATTCGTACTTCTTGTGAAAGAACAATCTAGCAAGTGCAGAGATAGTGAAATTAGATAGGTCAATATCCACTTCATGTTCACTCAAGATACTTTCGCGAGTGAATTCTGGATGTGGCCTTCGAGATCTCATATCGTTCTTCATTTTATATTAAATTATGTATTTCAGGTACCAGATAAGGATAGAGGTCATAATACAATCTTCATTGTATTTTATCACATCGTATCTAGTAGATGGCTCTATTGTATAGGATAGCTCAGATATGACTGGTTTGAGGGTATGAACGCACATGCATCATATAATGTCCATTCAGATGACAAAGAAAAAGTCAAAAAAGACTCATTGAGAGTCTTTACTGGAATAACTGAAGTGTACAAATCTGGATTCAAGGGTTTTGAGTGTTCACATAGAGCGCATAGTCTTCAACACACAAGAAAGTATAAATTAATTATGATGCATTTTTGACTTTACGTCATATGACTGGGCTTCAATATTTTGGCGTAGAATCATGCAGGTCCTAAATCATTACTCGAAGTATTTACTATAAGAATTTTTGTGAATATTGAGCAGGAAATGAGTCGGAAATCTTGCTTTTAAAAGTCGATATAGTTTTCGCTGTCGGCAGTTCTGAAGTAGAGCATACCACGTTTACAACGACCAAAAAATCGATTTCGGTTACCAAACTTCACAATGACTCTCGATACCATACTCAAAAATAAGATGCATGCTGAAAATATTTTCATGCTTTGGAAATGCTGCCGCTGCGAAGCAGCTCCTAAAGCCCTGCCAATTTATCTTTGTAATGCTCTCGGTGCAGAGAATAAAGCTATTTCAGGGGATCGGAGGTGTCCAAAATTAACTTGTGGCGATACATCGTGCACTATATGCTATAGATCAAAAACAAAATGTTCAAATTCAAATTGTGAACACGAAATATGCTACGGATGTCCTTCTCATGATGGCCATATCAATACAAGAAACTTTCAAGTATCGCTTACAATCATAGGAGGCGAAATATTCGCGCTCACTTTCTTCATGGGTTATAATTGCCGGTGGCAATGCACTGAAAGCAGGTTCCCAAACTTCAACGTGCTCGAGAGCCCAGAACCTTCATTTTGGGGCGATGGTTACAAAGATTCAGAGCCGACTGGACAGAAAATAACACGTATAATACCGCTACCTAGGGTTATTGCCAACCAATATCTTCGAAGCGATGAACGGCACATCGAGGAAGAGACAAATTTACAAACTGAGTTGAAGGATAAGTCTATGGCAGATCCGCAACCTCCCGTATCTAGACGCAGCCCTATCTCATCAGACAGAGCCATACAAGCCGCAAAAACAAATCCGAGATCACCAAAGACTTCCCAAGAAAGTCCATCACAGGCCCCTGAATGGACCGAGATCGGTAAAAATGTCAACAACATCCTAGATAACATGGAAGATAGTAGTGAATTCACTTATACCGCTGTTAACAGCCGAAATCTTATAGCTGCAGGTATCAAGATCTCGGAATCGAATAGAACACAGGTTGATAGCGATTTCGTCATCGCAGAATTGAGTGGCCAAACGACTAGATCAAATCAGTCTAAATGCTTTGAAGTCCAAGGATTAGCGTCCATATCTGTTGTGAACACACCGTTCTCTGTACCAGTTCCCAGTGCAGATCTCCTCCCGGTTTGCATCTAAAACATCCAGCTTACAACCCGCCTCTTACTCCCCCACCCGATTCTCCGATCCCACCCCCGACCCCGCCTCCAGACCATCAGGAAGTTCAGATAGTCAATCAGATTAGTGAAAGGTTACATAGGCCCCATGGAAGTTCACCAAACTCCCCACCGAGCAGATGGACCCAACTATTCCAAGAAAGTTCACCACAATCCGGGATGCCAAATCTGTCGACTCCTGGAGTGATTCCAAAGAAAAGACCAGCATCCCCAGTAATTAGGCCTGCCAAGATTATACATCGATAAAGAAATCTGTAGCTTTGTTTAAACACATGTCGACGCTACATAATTGCAGATCGCAGCATCAGAGACAGCATAGTATGGGAACTCCATGAGGTGGGCTGTTATAGTGGATAGTGGATATTTTGGACCCGGAACTTACTCCCTTTGTCTTTTCTTTCGTTTTATTTCGTTTCCTTGAGTTTCATTTATTTTTGGTTGCCGTTTTGATGATTCGAAGTTGGGGTGTAATACTTTGAGTTAAGAGATACCGTAATGTGGACGACGGGGGTATCGTGGTATGAGAGGCTTTCGGAAGGGTTGGTTGATATCTCTTTTATTTCTTAGTTTTAGAGTCAATAGATGACTGAAATTTTACTGCGAGTCATATAGTACCACTCATTTCATGGCACCATGTAATGAGTCTCCCTCAGCTGAGCCTAAAACATCCCGAAACCATTTTGTGCGGCCGCATTACTTGGCTCTGAATTCTCCCTCCAATGTACTTAATTCCTACCTTACTTTCTATCAAGTAATTTACAAGGGCCTCGTATCAGTAAAGGGGTATCTAGATAGGTTCACGAACTTCTTACATCACGAAACAAAACGACGTGTGATAGAGATACTGTTAGAACTCAACGACTAATTGACCAACTAAACTACCATCCACAAAACCTATTTCATCTATGCATGACTTTCGCTTGTGCCTGAATTCAAAATGCTAGAACACTTCTCGTATTCTATAGCATCTCCCAATTGTTCAACGTCTTCAATCAGATGATCTCTTGAAGGGCGTTGGCCACTATAACTTCAGTCAGTCGATTTCTAATATACACTGGATTTCAAACCTTTGAACAATATACACCTATATCGTTTATCGAGTACTTCACCATTTCTTGAACCACCCCGTCTTCATCCTTGTCCAAATAATAGTGGCGTAGTAGATCCTTGCTCGGTCCCCGTGGACTATAATACTGAATATAGCTCTTCAGGGGCACTCTGTACTCCTTTTCGCAATCCCAATTCTGCAAAACCTTCTCCTTGCTGCAACGAATGCATATTCTACCATCCGGTAAAACGCAACTATGATTACAAACACGACAGTTAACTCTATATCTCTCCTCGTCCATTTTTTCGACATCCATCTTCGTCCAAAGACGAGAATTATGCTTACAGAATCCCATATAAGTTGCAATAGTTCCATGATTTTTGTTCTCGGTTAATTGCTTGACATATCTGGAATAATTGGGGGTCCGATTTTCCGGTACTAAAAGTACCCCGTTGTGGTGACTGAGTTGATCTGTTTGATTGGGGTGGTGAAGCAGTTCGAAGAGCTCAGTATACTCGCTGCAAGGATGAATAAAATCTATTTTGAAATCGCTATTTTTGGTCGAATAATGAGGAAGATAGTCGGGCGAGTCTTCGGTAGGTCTCTGGATGACCTATGAGCTCTCAGAATGGATGATTCATTCCAGTGTGTTCCCCGTACAGTCATGCGGGGAACTACACTTATAAATGAGATGACTACGGACGGGCTCAAACACATTTATGAGCTCTTTGGGTTCTTTCGGTTCAACAGGCAAGCTACCATTACTCTTGGCTTTTATGACCAGCACCAATGCTTTCACTGATGTATTTTCGAGTGATGAAGGTATTTAAAGTGTCTCGTCAAAGAAAAGCTTTGTATAAAGAGCTCATTTAATGTCGATAGATTGAACTTCAGCTTCCGTGAGTGATGCAAAAGCAAGCTCGAGTAGCTCTAATGCTGGTGCAATCACAGATATAGGCAGGTCAGGAGGATCTGAAGACTTAAAAAGAGAGACTAGATCTGGATGCTCGAGAATGTATTTCTCACCACATTTAAGTTCCACATATTCCTTGAGCGTTCCGCGGGCCTCCACTCTGTCCTCTAAACTTGATTGTGAGGTGTTGCAAAGGGAAGTCTCTTTATCGATGCTTGGAGACAGCATAGTTACGCTTTTCGTTGTTGGCAACAGGTTGTTCTTGCGATGTTTTGGATGCGTTCAGATATAAATTAGAGAAAAGAAAATTTGATACCTCGGGCCCTTTTGGATCTGAGGGATCTCAACAATTTGTCACAGATATCCATATTTTGTAACTCTCAAGATATTTATGAACCAGTTTAAAGCATTTCGAAATTAGTCATGGAAAGTTATGAGTAGAAATTGTCTTAATGACTCTCCGATCAAGATTACTTTGACTAGAAAGAAATGGAAACTCGGGGAGAAATCACAGAAAGACAAATTGTCTGTGAGTACTGGCAATTTGGTACTCACGCGTAATTACACACCAATATCCAAAACTCATACCACCCTATCAGCTCGAATATGAAAGGTTTCCAGTGGTCAGGTTATCGTCTTGAAAGTGATCTTTGGACAGATGTAAGAGCAACCTCTTCATTGCCAAGAAACTTTGATTGTTACGAAGAGATGAAAGTTGACGCGAGCTACAACAGAAGTAACATACAAGTTTGCTCCAATTCGGTGGTCGATCCATGCCATCACTTTGTTATGAGTATCTTAATCTGTATTACAGAGAAATTGTTCCTCCTATGCGTATTTTTAACAAAAGATCACTTAGTGACAATTCCGAGAAGAGGGTCGTCAGAAGTGAAGAAAAAGGGTGAATGTGTTCAAATCTCCTGATGCACATGAATTATTTTGAGAAAGACATCATGAGCTTACCCAATTCACTCCCGCAAAGTCGTGCGTAAGATTCGACTAAATTGGAAGTGATTCCAACAGTTAGCCCACACGCACCAACGCAAAACATCCAGCAATACATATTTGGCTCTCTCAAGGAACAGCAAATAATTCTTTTCTTTTCTTGACACTAAACCAGACAAGGGGTTAGCTTATCGGGGCCATACGCAACACATTTGACCGGAAGATACTCTTCTTAATTTGTGATGGCCATAAACATCTACTAACTTCCAAAGCCAACATTAAACCATCGAAGGACCTTATCTTCTCCACACTCTTCTCCCGAGATTACCGATAATGCTGTGCGTTTTGGGTCAAATTATCGATATCGAACGAGTCTGCTAATTATAGATCATTTCAATAGTGACTTGGCCGACATCTAGACCGGAGGTATCTACAAGATGACCTTCACACTGCGCAAGGGGGGGGGGAGTTTTTCAATCATCCAAATTCATTGTTTAAGACGAAGAGTAGGCATATGTGCTGTATTTACACAAGCTATTTCAGAAGAATCACTATGAAGTTGAAGTATACTAGACTAGCAGAATGGTAATTAAGACAACTAGTATGTGTTGAAATCAATCTTGCCATTCATCTCTATCTAGCATGAATCAACCAATTTCCATAGATACACACATTCCAGCCTATCTATTTCTTCATATCTCAACCACAGAAATGACAATTGCTCCTTATCCTCCGCAGTTTCATACCAATTGCACTCACATCATGCCAGGACAAATTCTCAAACACTGTAGCAGCTCAGATACAAGAACCCTTCCATAAACCTGATCATGATCATCCGCACCCACACTAAGAATTATCTCATCATCCAGAAACCCCACGCCTTTATCTCTTAGATCCTCATCTTCCCTGTTCCAAGCATACGCTATAGTTGTGGTATAGGTGAATTTTGCCCAAAAACCACGACCTTCGGACACAGCCTCTGGAATATCATCCCAACTTTCGTCGGTCGTCCAGCCCGTGGTGGTTTCATTTGCGAAGAGAATTGGATGTTGACTCATGGCCAGCATACTAAAAGGAGGCGTTGCTGCCCACATCACAAAATATCTTTCGTAACGGATCGGTAGGTCCAAGAAGTTTTTGTGTTTACGATGAATGGCTGCAATAAAAATGGTATCCGGAGTCTCTGAAATACAAGAGTTATTAGAACGAGTACAAAGAATCAGTTTTAAAGCAGGTGTGGCCTGATGCCAAGTAGCATTTGCCATGTATCTATTGAGAGCTATTTCCTCAGGCGTTGCATCGATGAGACAAGAGATCTCGTTTGGGTCAGTCAAATTAGTTGTGGTGAAGCCATTACCAATAAGTTTTGCAAAGGTGCGTTGTGAAGAAGTCAGCTCATAATGAACGTATGATATGGATGGAGTTGGTGAAAATATAAACCAGTTCTTTTCGTATGATCTTCGGGTCTCTCGTGGATTGCGTGTCAACTCGGTCAGGACAGGATAAGACTTGAGTGGTCCTCCGAATCTCTTGGGTGGTGACGAGAAGATTTCTTCCAGGTCGGGGTATACAGAACGAAGATCAATAGACCATAGTCCGATGCAAGCATATCGCGACCTAGAAGTCATTTAGTGGAGAGTATTTCGGAAGAAAGAAAGGGAATCATACTGAGAAGATACCATAAGCATAGGCTCTCCTCTTCCGGAATAGAAGATCCTAGGATCATGAAAGCCAGGTATATCGGCCAGTCCTTCCTGATTCCCCTGGCAACTTTCTGCTGGGGTTGGAGGAACAGTCACCTCAATAGGCGTATTTTCGCATCTCATCCCTCCATTACTACCGAGAACTTCAATATCATCATCTGTACAGATTCTCTCTTGGAGGTGTCCACGATTTTCGGTTTGCGGGTGACAAATATTTGCTTCACACAAAACATTGACTCGGTAGCCACGGTCCTTCAAGTACACCATGCTCACGATCAAATACTGATTCTTTGCCCAATATGGCAGAGAGAAAATTGTTGGGTTCCAGAACGTTCTTGACTCCGGGGATCCAAGCCTGGGTCTCATGGAAATGTTATAAAGCAGATTAGGAAGTCTAAGATGGTTCGTGAATTTGTTAACCGGGTCGGAGCAATGCGCAGTGAGTTGTAATAAAGCATGTGGGACAGTAACTTTCGGAATAAGGAGCTCGTTCAGATTCCCGCTACCTGAATATGCCCATGATTGAATCGTATTTTTTGAATAATTCTTCAATGGATGAGATATTGGAATTCGCAATGGGATATTGTGTTTCTCGTGGTTATAAACTTGGTGTCTATATCGGGAAGGTGAGAGGTTCGAGATAATAATAGCAGCCCAGAAAAGGATTGCAAGTGTTAAAATGAGTCTTCTCGCGAACTTTCTTGCCATGGCGTAACAATTGCAAAGTAGGAAGAGAAATGATTAAAAAGAGTATACTGTAGCTCACAACTGGCAAATTCCAGTACTTCGCGCCGATCGAAAACAGAAGATAAGGATTAAAACCAGATATTGAATTCTTTGAAATTACTTTAGTTTGCTTGGTAATATTGAGGTTGACCGTGAATGCGAAATATGGAAAGTGCAAGTCTAAGAAAGAAGCCACGAAAGTCTCTGGAAACGGTCCTGCCACCTTTGAAATTTTGCTATATTTTGAAATCTATCTTTGTGATATCGTTGAGCATGAACACAATCTTTGCATTTTGATCACTGTAAATTTCTTTGCCCTTTGCTTTGCTACAATCTTGCTCTTTTGCTCAGTTTTGATCGATTTTGACCGATTTTTTGCTCATAATGGTTTACATCTCCCCTTTATCAACTCCAGCCGCGACTTCAACTGCAACAAGTGAGACGCCTCTTCGACCACCAACTAATGATACGACACCATGGTCAGAGATTTCAATGGAGAATTGGCGGAACGGAGTGGATTTCAGAAGTCCGCCACCAGCTTATGACGAAGAGGAGCAGTCGGAAACACCTCACCGATTTTACAACTTGGAGCACCTCTACAAGGCTATTTGGCTCACCTTATTAATAATGATTTGTTTCTGGTTTTGGTTCAGTCAACAACAGCAGCGAATACATTTCTATCAATATGGCACAAAAATCTCTACAGCAGAGTCACCACTAGAAGGACTTCGCTTCGTTGACGCCAATCATCCTTACATACGTGTATGTCATCATCTCGATTTATGGAACAAATTCTAACATAACATAGTATGTGGGTCGTTGGTCTTCGACACTGGATGGCACAAGAAAAGACGGGTCATTCCCAGGTATGCTCTCTCGCTAAATCACCTGTCATTTCTAATGAAGTTCTACTAGGGATTTATCTCGATATCGCCTTTAACGGAAGCAGCACTATCTTGATATCACTCCATAACAAAGATCAACAACCACACTTTAAAAGGACAAATGCTCGAAAGAAAACAGCAACGTCTGGATTTCCACCATTACTAGACAATACAAGCGCGGCACCTATCTCTCTGCTTGCCCAGGTCGATGATGAAGAATACGTGATACTTCCAAACGCAACATCGCTTGTGGCTATACGAACGAAAGATCTCGATCCCCAATCATCCCACATTATTCGGATCATTGCACCAATGATCGGCAGGGACATAATAGAGACTTTTCAGTTTCTAGGGGTCTGGATAGATAAGAATGGACAACTGATTCCAGCTCAAAACCCGATGTCAGCCACAAATCTACCATTTCCTGTAAGAGATGTTGAGAATGAAGAATTAGGACTATCTGTAAATGCTGTGGACTATGGCTTAAACTCTCCTCAGCGCAAGATGTTGGAGATCTTGACTGATCTACCCGGCTCCATGACAGGCCTAGACAGAAGAAAGCACCGGATGGCATCTAATGTCGCAAACGGATTACTAGGAGGAGTGATGGGTTGGGAATACTTAACTGGTGAGATGTTTGGTAGTGATCATGTAACTGTCGGAATGGATGGGATGTGCCTACTGCAAGACTGTATCGGTGGTAGGGGCAGTCCAGCAGGATTGGAAGACGTCTTCTTCCAAAGGTACGTCTGGAGGTCTTCTTGAGTTCTTTGGTTTCCCGGTTTCATTTTAGACCCTCTAATGCTTACAGTGGACCACTTGGCTCTGGGCAATATGCGCAACCATGGCTCTTCCAATCCTATGTCCCGGATGTAATGGTAATTGTTTCACTTTCCACTTCAAATATAAGCAACTAACATGTTCAGATTCTCAATATCGGCAATGCTGACTGGGAGTCGTTCCGAATATACAATGAAGATTACAACATGACGACATGGGAGCTGAGTGTGCTTTTCGAGGAGACCTACGTTTCGTTAATCAGAGCAATCAGAACATTGGCGTATCCCAAATACTCCGGGACAATGGCCGAAGTTTCACAATACGATTATCCACAACACCGAGCAGTTGATATACCGATATTTGTAATGAGACCTTTTCGCGGACAACTTGAACAAGCAACGCATTCTGTAGTGGATCGATTACAATTTGAGGGGGACAAATCAGTATTCTGGCTTGATACTTCAGGCTGGCTTAACACCGATATCAATTTTGAAGGACGATCAGAAGATCAAGACTTCTTTCTCGATGGTAAGTACAATTTCCACTGTCTAAGTAAACTCCATTGCTCTAAGTCACTACTGAAAATAAACAGAGGGAAGTCCACGGAAAGAATGGCGCCTCACGGAGAGGGGGAACCAACGCGTTGCGATCTTGTTGCATATGCATGTCTGCAGATACCTTGCACAAGAAGCCGACAAGTGTGCATTTTTAGCACCGGAAGCATATCAAGGTGGCAATTTGGATCCGGTTGCGATGCATTTCGACGAATACATGAGGGACGAGAAAGAGAGAAGACTGAAAAAGCTATTCTGGGTATCCCCAGAGGATGAAGGAAAATTCCAAGTCAAATGAACGCAATGATGAAGATATGAAAAATGAAGAGCTTTGAAAATTGTCATCGATACCTAATCTCTATCTCGTGATTAGTTTTGCAATGAGTATATTTACCATTCATTGGAGTATTGATGTCGTATGTTGATATAAAAGTTTGAAGTGGTGTAGAATTTGAGCTTGAGATTTCGGTGAAGGTTATACAGGTCAAAACCAGCGATCTATTACTATTTATGCCAGTTTTATGGTGATTAACAGAGCATACATATGAGAAAGCCCTCCATCATTGTATGATGTGAAAACGAGTATCGAAGTCGTTCGACAGTGAAAAATTACATGCCCAAGCCCCCAAGATAACTCTTATTCCAGCGAAGGCGTAAAAAAATACTCTCGTACCGCCTCAATCGAAACAGAATTACTTTTCTACCATTTGAATCTCAAGATAGCCAGAGACTTCATGTATTCCTAAGTCAGTCTTGCCGAGTGATGGGTATGTCATTTGACGACCACGCTGTTAGGGATAAATATGGAAGGTGCGAATTTAGTGGATTGAGTAAAGTTGTCCTCCGTAGGGGCCCACACGATAGATTCTTATTCATTACCTTGGACATAGAAAAACTTCCAACAGAGGAAGATTACGAGCTTCATCACAACCTTGGAATCTTAAACAATTTTACAATCTCATGAAGAGAATTTCGTGCGTTATAGTTGTAACTCCTTACCATAAGGATGGAAGTCTGAACGTTGTAACTAACTACACATTGTATGCCTCGCAGTCTTACGCTACTAGCTACACAACATTTCTGGGCATGAAATTTGACTGACAAAGTTAGGTTTTCCTCGTTAGTCTTTCAGAGGCCGCTCGTACCGTTAGAAATCTGGTATTTTGAACAAAAAGTGTCAACCCGCAAACCAAAGGGGGAATTTTCGCGTAATTAGTACTCGTAGATCTACTACTTTCATCTCTTCTAAGTCGAAGCTATTCAATTGTTACTGTGATGATCTAAAATTTCTTACCGGCTTCCAGTACCAAACACAGCCGATCGATATTTAGGTCAAACCTTAAATTGAGTTCAAACCATACTAACAACTGACAGATTGACGTCCAAGGAACCGGTAACAAATTGCGCTATATTTGATTTAGCGTCTTACTTAATTTGATAGGTTGTGTGTGCTAGAGTTGCAAATACTACATAGATTACTAATATCTTTCTTGAAAACAACGTCACTCCTACCTTTATAGGAGGTTTGGATGATCATTGTAGTCGCTGAAAGTGCTTCTTTGGACCAGATCTAGGATGTCTTGATTTGATGGAGAAATAATGAAAATGTATGGGGTATAAAAAAGCGATGAGTTCTATGAAGATCGAATCTTGATCTGGTAGATCCGGATGAAATGATGAAGCAAGGTTGAAAGCGCCGACGGCTGGAGAGCCTTGAGGGCCACTAAACGGGTTATTGAAAGTGAATACCATGGTTTTCGCATGGGAGTATGGACTAAAATGGTAAAAAGCAGCGACTTATACTTCTTCATCACTAAGATCTGCCGGAAAGGAGAGAGTAGATGTTAGTAAAAGTTGGCAGATCCCAAGGTTTATCATGACACTGTCGCCGCAGAATCATACCAAATCTAGTATTTTCTCACCGACTAGATAATGGTGATCACCCGCCAATAGCATATAGAGTCGATAATCAAGGTCTTTTAGAAACTAATATCCACCTATGTGGTATGTAAACAAACCAGATTTGGAAATTTCATATGTAACTCAAGGTAACTATTATTCATGGTTTTGCTGAGATGGGTATGCTGATGGTATATCATGATATTGTGACGTCAAGATTAAAGGCAATAGAAGGTTAAGCATTGAGTGTGAAGAAGAGCTAGGAAGTGTAAACTTTCCGAATGTATGACTTTTTAACCTATTCGTTTTCCCAGATTTTTATGGACGCGTGGTCTGATTTTGTGATGATATCTGGCTACATCTTACATATGATATATAAGGAGATATCCCAAGGATTCTGTATTCGATTCTCGCTTCAATTCGTAACACATGCGTACATACATTCTGTGGTCAAGACGTAGCTAGACAATGGATGTTGTTGATTCTGAGCCATCTGAAGTTCTCATCTATGTCAATCTGTTGATATATCTCAACATCTTGTTTGAACAATATGCAATATGATTGGATGATTTGACGAAGTGGATGACCTCGCTACTCCTTTTTTTCTTTGTATCCCGGATGTTATTGTAAAGGGTTATGCTCAAATTTTGAGTTCAAATTGATATGCTTTGGAGCCTTTATGCAAGTGAGAAATTTAGTCCATGACATTGGGTTTCCTCTTTATAACATGAACATCCTTTTTTCTGTTCATTACTCATAGTGATATTTGAAGTTACCACAATATATGATGTATACAACAAGTGTTCAGGCCAAGTGGCCTACAACTAACATGATCGTCAACTTGGAATTCTCGAAACATGTAATTCCCTCAAAATCAACGAATCTAGACTCAGACTTACCTCTAGACACAATTGTAGCGCACATATTTCGAAGTATATCGAGTTGCTCTCGTTGCTCTGGCTACAAAGAAACAGAAAGTTGGCTGCGATTCATGGAAATCGTCACAGGCTGTGACCATGTTGGTTCTGCTTACTATAATCCTTAGTCAGTTGGTTTCCTATATAAGTGCTACTTGTCCCCTTAGATTGACATTCCCCTAACTCCGCATTCGCTCTTCTACTCTCTTTCCCGTCCTGTCTTTCCCCTTCCACCTTACACGGATATCAATCAAACTCAGATACATGTAATTCTCAAGTTCCATCACTCACTTGCTCTCCATGAAGCTAACCTTCGTGATTCATTTCTTCTTTAGATCAAGTCGCTCTCGAGTCTGAATCATGGTTTCATATAAGAAATCAGCCATCGCTGTCGCTGTCGCTGTCGCAGGCATCGGCATATCAACCGCTCTTGCCGGCAGCACAATCCCCCGCAACACAATCCCTCGCAACACAATACACTTCATATCTTTCGACGATGTAGACAGAATCATCGCCTTTACATCCCATGCTCACTGTGAGGATATTGAGGATATTCACCACAAAGGTGGAGAGAACTTCACTATTGAAATGCCTCAGAACTGGGGAGGTACCGTTATGGCTAAGAAGTATGATGCTGTGGTCCCTATCCACCGTGTTCAAGCCGAAATTCAATGGCAAGGGTTCGAAGGCAAGACCCACTACGATGCCAGTGCGATCACCAACCATACCGATAATTCTGGCATCCGTTTCATTTACCCAGCTGGTCAAGGCGATGTCTACGAGACACGAAGTGGATGCACCGTTTATCCTTGCGATAATGCTTATCTTCAGCCTGACGACGAGCAAACCAAGGTCACCTACCAAACTGATATGGTTATTGAGATTGGTCCCGAATTCTAGAGGTAAGTTCCCAGCTGATTCTCATCGCATATGTCCCTCACTAACTTACTGTAGGCTTCCAATCGAATATCTGATGACATTCGCAGGCGTTTTCGTCTCGGCTTGCCTTCAGTCTCGGCAACCTTTGATCGCTGTTTTCGATAAATCGTAAGTATACTGCCATTTCGGGTAATGGGCAAGAGTCTGGGGGACTTAAAGCCCGAGGTATTCCCTGAGATTTGATCTAAATGAAATTCGGTGGTGGTCTTGGAATTTGTTGGGCTGTCTCGTGGTTGATTTCGAACATGTATGGTTATTAAATGTGCTGCCTAGTAAAGATGCACATGTAGAAGAAATTGCATCACACATCAAACATACATAAGAAATGATAAATTAGAAAATGATAAGTCAAAACGTCTGAATCAAGAACTGACAAGCCCATATAATCGAGGTCTCATCCAGAAGAACAGGACATTTTTGTTCTTTTGTTCTTGATGGCCCACCAGAGAATACGATCAAGGAGAACGGTCATATCCTAGCCAAATTTACCTTCTGGATGCTGTCGTTCACAACGCAAAAGGTCCACGAAATGAGCACAAGTTGGAGACATAATAAGATTTCAGTACTTCTACCTCTCCTAAGACCATGATAGTGTAGTTTTCATTCCTCGAACCACAAAGCGCGGCAGAAAGGCGGGCTACAAGAAATTTTCATGCGAATTTGCCCAAAGGCATCCCAAGGGTGATGAAAACACAATGTAGACCGAGGATACCACTATGGTTGTTGAAATCCATCCATTCCTTTGGAAAGGCGACAATTCTTCGTCAATGTCCAGAAATTTGTTAGTAATTGATCATAGACATTCATCGACACCTTGACATACCACCTCGAAGCATCTTCTCAGTCCACTTACTGCTGCACTCGTTGCTCTATCCTTTTGGTCTCGAGATCTTTTGGATGGGCTCGTAAAAACATCAGCTGGCTTCCGCGACTTTGTGTTCATGGCTTTGCTTCAGCAATGATCTAGAAACTCGCACTATATGCCAAAGTTCGCAATGTTTGGATCTCACTCGCGTCCTAGTACACCCATAGAAAATTTCACATATAATCAATACCTATCCTCGTTTGTGTTGCCCCCCTTAAGTCTCGACTTTACCATGATCTGACCCAACCTCATATGTTTGCTACCTTCCTCGCGGTCCAAAAAAATCCATCATGGGTATACCGTCTACACGCCAACACTACGTTGGCCGGAGGCGTCTTCACTTCTACGAGTTCCGTAGCGGCTCTAGATCCTTCGATTCAACAACACTAACAATGTCGGATGTTGTTGGAGAAATCAAAAATGCTTTCCCCTTCTGTGAATGTCTCTTCTTATTACCCTTTTCCCCTGCCCCATATCTTCTGGCATTTGATGTTCTTGGTATCAAGATCGTTGGAGATGTATATATCAGATGTATTATCATGTACTATGAAGAGATGGAATAATAGGATATGTAAGATATTGGCTGAAGCTTGTAGTGGAGTCGTATCTACAAACAACTTGACAGGCATTGAATGTTCGGAATAATTCCCCTCTCTTTACCGATATCAACGATCAGCCAGAAATGGCAAGTACATCCCTATAGATCCCGAGATTCTTCCGGTCCATAATTCTGGGGATTAGTGAGTAATAATGAGGATTCAACACTGGAGAAACCAATAGTTAAACCTCGATTTAACATTGAATTTTGATTTGGGCATAGGGGTTTTCGAGGTTTCTGACCGTCGTGAGATAGGTCATATCAGAGCTTCCAACTCTTCCAAGCCTACCCTGGTTAGATTGATTATTGTAATACTTTTTACTCACGTGCTACTTAACCCTATCTTCCATTGTTGCAATGTTCATATATCAGTCCAGTAGAGTTCCATTACAGACACTAATAGTCTTGACAAAGTGGAGTGAATGACTGATTGTTGTTCGCCGATGTGCAAGCTTTATCTAGATACTCCACCAGAGCTGTTCTAGATCCACTCAAGTTTCTAATACGTTATGAACCCGATATTCTAGATAGCACAAGTTCTCTTCCTGCATTACTGAGCAAAATATGCACAAGATTTCTGTGCTTTTAACGTATATCTAGGAGCCTTTTTATATAGAAAAGACAGCCGTTAATTACATCAATCACGGACTGTTAAATAATACACGCACTAACTTCGGCTTGTTTTCGAGAGGCTGGAGCGTGGCTGAAATGACCAAAGTGGCTAGTATTGATGTAAGCGAGTTGGGGTGAGAAATTGGAGAGAAACTGGTGATGATGTAGTTGCGGCTAGAGCTTCCCTCGGCTTTCTAATGACAAAATTTGCTTCTGTTCTCTTCTGCTGGAAATACTACAAAAAAGCAGTCGATTCATTCATTCATTCATTGACTTTGAAGGCGATTTTATAATTCAATGGTATAGATTTAAAGACTCAATTTCGTTTATTCATTTCCATTATTCTTGATGTCAAGGTACCTACCTATCCTCCATCCTTCAAACACCAGTTCGTTCCAGACCTTGGCTCATAACTTAACCTGAGCACGCGACCTCCTACAAGAACCCTCGACCAACAAGATTGATAAGAATCAAACCACTTTTGCATTATCCTCGAATACATCAACACGATAGCCATTTGAGACATCAATCACCATGAAAAGGGCGAGATTTCCCAGCGGGATGGAGCGTCGAAAGTCCTCTACTCCTCACTACCATACCTTCCCCACCCCACCACCCAAGTCTCGCGGCAGACCTCAAGTCGCATCAACTTTATCATCTGGTGGCGACGGATCTGCAAATTCGAATTCGAATGAAGGGGAGCCCGAAGATGAACAGCATCAATCTCCTCTTCCAATAAAACAGCTCGCTGTGTTGGCAGTCATCGCGCTCGCCGAACAAACCGCCTTGAATTCGATATCTCCATACCTACCCCAAATGACGTCGAAATTTCCAGAAGTTGATCCAAGTCAAATAGGTTTATACGTCGGAACAATAGCGTCGAGTTTTGCGTTCGCGCAATTTACAACGAATTTTTTCTGGGGCTGGTTATCTGATAGGATAGGGAGGAAGCCGGTGGTAATGCTTGGGACTCTTTTGACATCAGCATGTTTTGTTGCTTTTGGATTCTGCAGGACATTATGGCAGGCAGTATTGGTACAAGCGCTCATGGGTATGGTCAACGGAAATCAGGGTGTAATAAGTACATGCTTGGGAGAGATTACGGACCGCAGTAATCAGAGTAAAGCATTTGTCTATCTGCCAGTCATTTATGGAATTGGTGGCATAACAGGTCCGGCTTTGGGTGGATTGTTAATCTTTGAAGAGAATCCATTTAATAAGGGGCATCCAAATCCTTATCCATATTTACTACCGAATTTGTTTGCGGCATCAATATTATTACTCGACTTGGTATTGACGGGGTTTTTTCTGGAAGAAAGTCTAGAAGAGGCAAAAAATCTCCCTCCTTTGAAGCATCGAATGAAGAGCCTCTTTACGTGGATGTGGCAATTCACAGGAGGAGCTCGACATCCAACCTATACAAGAACCCCCTCTCAGCGTGCACTGCTTCATGATTCTGATGCCTCGGACGAAGAAGATTCTGAAGCTGAATCACTCCTCTCAATGGGTGACTTCTTCCAGTCATCAAATGAAGCTCACTTGTCTTACAAGGAGGTTCTCAATCGCGATACCGTAATTCTTCTTGGTACTTATCTTATCTTTCAACTCTCCAATATTTCCTTCAACTCTCTCTATCCTATCTTCGCATCGGCTCCTGAGCGTGCTGGACGAGCGCTCTCTCCTTCCGAAATCGGTCTTTCACTCTCTTTTGCAGGAATGGTCACAATTGTCTTCCAGATCGGCATTTTTGGTAAACTCAAAGAAAAGATGGGAAATAAAGCAACTTATAGATCAGGATTGTTCCTCTTCTTCATTTCCATGATGCTCATGCCATGGATTGGATACAAAGATTCTCCTCCACCTTTTGGTATCGGAAATGGAAAATTATGGCTATGGGTTGAGCTTGGGTTCGTCTTGTTATTAAAAACAGTAGCTGCAGTGGGAGGATTAACAAGTGCTCTGTTACTTATTACAAATTCCGCGCCTAATCATGGTGTTCTTGGTACATTGAATGGCCTAGCACAAACTCTAAGTGCAGCGGGAAGAGCAGCGGGTCCTTTCTTGAGTGGAGGATTGTTCACTTTGGGAACAAAGATTAAGAATGGGGGATTTCTCACCTGGGGTGTTTTTAGTGGGATTGCTTTGGTGGGATTCGTCTTCAGCTGGGGAATCCGAGGGAAAGATTTGGAGAGTGGAGACTGGAGTGATGAGAGTAGTGATGACGAGAGCGAGAGTGGAAGTGGTGGCGATATAGAGTCTGGTCAATCATCGTGATGAGCTTGAGAGGTTGAACCATCGGATTCTTGGTATTATATTGTAACAAATACTTTATATTTTACGTTGTTCGTGTTGATGGGAATAGGCTGTACGTTTTTCATTTTGGTATAGGGTAATCATTGGGCGGTAAAGGAGTTTGGGCGCATAGAGAGAGAAAGGGAGGATAGCGAGATTAGACTTTTACATAGAGAAATAGAACTTACATGAGCAGCATGCGTATCCATATTGTGGATTTAGAAGCTCTTGTAGCTAATACAATTTATCTGAACAAGCATTCCATGATCATAGTATCAACCTTTTGGAAGTTTCGTGCACGTTCCAATTTATCTAATATCAAAAACGTCCACCTCACATCCAACCCATCTCGCAAAACGTGATATTGAAACCAATTTGAATTCCACCAAATGCCATGGAAGTTTCTAACAATCCGATCTCATCATATCTTTCTTCACCTTCCTCATCTCTATTTTTATCTTTCTTCTATCTATACCTCTCCCCTATCTCCGTCCAAAATGGTGGGGAAACGGGCTCGAGCGAGTGCGTTTCAGACGGATTCCAATCAATGCGCTATCAATATCAAGTCTCCCCCCGAACTTCTCCATGCTATCAACTCCAGTGCTCAAAATATCTCTTTCAAGACCTATCTCTACAATGGCATTTTTCCTAAATCATTTGAAATCACATACCATAGTTACATTGCCCATTCCTGCAAAGAAATTCACGGGAAAAACAATCATTGTTACTGGGAGTAATAGTGGTTTGGGATTGGAGGCTGCGAGGTGTTTTGTATGTATTTATTTTGACCTCTGTATAGACTGATATGCATGTGAATTAAATAAATATTAATAAGACAAAAGGTCCGTCTCGATGCTCAAAAAGTCATCCTCGCCGTGCGCTCCCTCTCCAAAGGTGAAGCTGCACGTCAATCCATCATAAACAGTACCTCCTGCTCCCCAGACAACCTCGAAGTATGGAATCTCGATCTTTGTTCTCAATCTTCTGTTAAAGAATTTGCGCATCGAGCAAATGCGCTCCCGAGACTTGATATCTTGGTATCGAATGCTGGGATCTATGTTTTCGATTTTAAAATCGTAGAGGGCAATGAAGAGACGATTTGTGTAAACGTAGTTAATACTTTCTTATTGGCATTGCTTTTGTTGCCGAAATTGAGGGAGACGAGTATAACTTATGATACGAAGGGGGTAATGACATTCACGGGAAGTTTCGTACATCATCTGACTACATTCCCGGAACGCCGAGCAGGGAATGTATTTGAAGAGTTGAGAGTGCAAGAAAGAGCTGACATGAGAGATCGATATAATGTGAGTAAACTGATCTCTCTGCTATTTTCCCGGGAACTTGCGTCTGCGCTTCGCGAATCGGAGACGCGGGGGATGGGAGGACATGTTGTTGCGAATATTGTTAATCCTGGGTTGGTGGACACGGAGATCATGAGGCATGCGACGGGAGCTATGAAACATTTGGTCAGGGGAGCGATGAAATTGATGGCGAGGAGTGTGGAGGAGGGGAGTAGGACGTTGGTGCATGCTGCTGGAGGGGAGGAGGAAACAAATGGAATGTATTTGGATGATTGTGAAATTGGGAAGTCAGTACCCCTTCTGTCTAGGTGGTTTTGTTTGTTTGATTCGAATACTGTGGAGTTTGAGACTAACGGGAAATTAGGGTATCATCATGGACAACATCACTCGACGGGATAGCGACCCAAAAAGATATTTGGATGGAGTTATCGCAGGAATTGGAGAAGATAGAACCGGGGATTATGGGGAATGTATGAGTGTTAGATTGAAAATTTTGCCAATTTTTAGTCTCGTCTTCCGTACCAATGCGTTGAGGTTGCCTCATGACGACCCCGCAAGCTTCGCAAGTTTTCAATATTTTGTGATTTCTTTTTTTTCCCCCAGATATGCAACAAAACTCCTGGAGAGCGATGTGATTGATTGATGAAAATCGGACGAGAGATGAGGATGCTCCGCTCGGTCACCAATGATGTTCTCAAGATTCAGAAACTGAAGAATGAGCGTAGCAGATGGAGAACAGATTTACCTTCCTTTGACACTTCAAGATTAGACCTCACCAGAACAAAATCATTTCGAGCTTCCTTGTAAGTTGGATTCAGTTGGAAAATAATAGAAGTTGCTGGTTCGTTATACATAAAGATCCTCTCGTACGCCACACCTAATTCCAAGTCTCTCTTTCCGTCCTGGGTATTTCCATTCATTCGATCATACGAAGAGCCATCCGGTTCGCCCTCAAAGCCAATTTCACATCATCTTCCGGCCCAAGACTATCATCCCGCTCTTTCCCAACACAAACACAAAAGTTCAACAAGGCGAAATCTCCATACTTCCCCTTTTTCTCTCAAACCCTTGGGTCTCTGGGCTCGTAGTCCCCCACTTCATATTCGTCAATCCCGTCGCCGCCATCTCTTTCGGCTGCAAAAGAGAACCCTCCATCTCAACCGTCTCATGATGACCACCCAATCCCATTTCCCCCGGTGAATCCTCCGCCATCAATTCCGTTGTCTCGTGATATCCACCTTGCGGCAACTCTGCAATCCCAGGATGTGTATTAACTGCTTTTCTTTCCGGTTTCTTTGGAGGTCTAAAGAGATAGCCATTTCGTCTATATCCTCGCAAAAGTAGTCCGCAGGGTATGCATACGACGGCTGTTACTACTAGAATTACTATTCGAGTGATGTGGGTAGATGAAGTTGAGGGTGTTGTATTTGTATTTGCAGATGAGCTGGTAGGTGTACTAGTTGCAGTACCGGTGGGCTCTGTGAATGTCATCAATTCCGTTGTTGATCCATAGTTTATTGCAATGACTGTTGGAGACGCATCATCATCTTGTGCTGTTTCAATCTTCAGTTAGTAATAGACTTCATAATATTTTTCAGATCATCAGACCAAGCAACTTACCAAAAACGCGAGAAAATAGCCAAATCAGCCCCAGTAAGCGTGATATCATATTCTCGGAATGAAGGGGAACTTAAATCAATCCAAGAATTAGAAAAGAGGCGGAAAAGCTTAAGTTCATAATTCGAGGGGTGCAGTGCTTTTGGGGTGCCTTGCTGCGCCTTATCGTGCCGTAGATACATATTTCTGTAGCATTTTCTGCAGCTCTTGTTTCAAACATTGTGATGAGTGATACTAACAGGGGAGATTAATTCGGGAATTGACTAGCTACAATGGTTGTGGGGCTAGACCTGCCAATCATCGAAGCAGCAATGCTAGCAAACTGTTGGTATCAATATTACTCGTCAGGGGTTGGGGTTGCTGGATTGGAAAGGATTTGGGTGGCCATTTGGGTGGCCAAGCTGATTTTCAGATTCTTTTCCTGCTTTGCTGCTTTCCTGCTCTCCAATTTTCCATTCGCTCGGTTCTTGATGCAATGGCTTTGTTAGTTGCATATATTGTCTTTCTCGCTTACGATTCGCGAAAGACTTGTCAGTCTAGCTCATGCACGTCGTTCTACGGACTTGGCATCTCTATAGATTCATTGACGTCGATTGTTCCAATAAGTAGACATGTAGGTGGTCTTTGATGGATGTATGCTCATTGTTCCTTTGGCTGATTGAAGTGGCGGAAGGGAAATGCTATGAGAGTTATACGTTGGCTAATCGGAGTATGGAGAAAATTTAGGAAAGATTTGTACACGCTTGGTGAAGCATTAAACAAACTTAACCTTCCCATCAATAAGGCTCAATTGTGGGAAGTAAACGCCTATCAGCTTTGCGTTGTCTGCCATCGTTAAGCAATTTATTGAATCTAATGACAGCATCTGCAACATGCAACTTGGTCAAATTTTCATTGTCAGAGAGGGTGGACTCTTCAATGAGTTTAACTTCTGTAGCGAAATGATGCAGAGTGTACTGGAGGATAGCTTGAGCTTTCGGGTCCATCTCAATTGAGATACGATCAACTCAGAGCAACCTGTGAGTTTCATGTCCGAGTAAAATATCAGCAAAGGAACGATACGACTATGAGTATCGAAGTATTGATTTCTTTATAACAAGCACCTCAATAGGGTCAGGTCGACTTGATCCAATGCTGAATAATGGTTGTCATAGGTCTCGAAATAGGTGGAATCAGCAATGGAATTGGACAACGAACTGATGGTTGTGGCGATAGCACACACACTTTGAGATGGTAAAAGATTGGAAAGACGATTATAGTAATCGATGGCAGATTCCAGGACTTCGCTCCTTCCATTTCTACTAGTATTATGACGTGTACCGTGGTAAAAACATTCGGACAACTGTAGATGTTTAGGGTTCCTGAAATTGCAGCCAGAAAATTTGAGCTCAATCTAACAGTTTTGATGAATGAGGAAACCAGATACCATTGAAACCGTTGTATCCCATCAAGTGAGCCCTTCGTTTCGGGATATTTTGAGACTGTTCTCACCGTATCAACAATTCTCATGCAAGAGGATATGGTAATTGCTTCTGTCATGGTGCTTATTTTCCACGTTTAATTGAACTTACAATACTTTTGGTTTTGTCCTAAAGCTCGATGGTCTGACAAAAGTAAGTGCGGAGCTCAGAACATTGGAGGCGGCGTTGTCCCTAAATAGACTACCATCTAAAAGAATAAGAACTGTGAAAAGTATCTCATAGATATTGAACACTACGAGCGAAAACAAAAAAGAAAGATAAGACGTTGTGACAAAAATGGTACGCGTCTATCTTATTGAAAAGACCTTGATGCTTTTTAAATACTTTTGTCGGGCAACGCCGTCTCTTTGCATCGCTCAGCACGAGCTAGACGCATTATCATAGGACTAGAAACACGCAATCTGAGGTCTTATATAGGTAGCAGTATAAAGGCTATGCCGGTCAGAGAAGATTTATTCAAACTTATGACATAAACTGGCTTTTTGACTCCTGTTTTATGTTCTTCTGTAAACCTTCCCCCGAAGTTGACAGGTCGGCACTCACTAAATGCATTCCATTTGGAGGTATGTATGAAGGGATGTTCGCGAATCGTGGTCACATTTCCCTGTGCCTTTGACGATGCTAATTGTAACATCCGTTTGACCCTCATCTTCGTAGTGAGTTCTAATGACTTGTTTTTTGGTTCGTCTTTCAAAGTGGCTCGTATAGAGGCTGGTGAAACACGTGATACAAATGCATACTCGCCACAGTTACCTAAAATATGTGTGCTCGACTAAACTCACTTCATTGGACGCCAACATAAAGCTTTAGTCGATCATGCTTATATACATTATATATATATGCATATCCAGGTCATTGAGAGAGAGGCCAAAAGACCCATTGTCCTCATCCACAAATCTACTTCTTCGCTGGCCTCACCATCCATATGAACCCTTCTCCTTTTCGATCACCGAACCTTTCTGGTATTTTTGTTTCGCAATGTTTAACATATTCGAATCCCTCGGATTCATATAGTGATCGGCCAGCTACAGATGCTTCTACTATGGCCTAAATTGAACTCACGTTAGCTGCAGTTGTCAATAAGAGCGGGGTCCAGTCGATGCTCAGATCGATAGATTCTACATACCGCATATCCAAGTTCATCAGCGATTGCAGTTCCCCATTTGACCAAAAGACGACCTACTCCCCGACGTTGATAATCGGGGTCAACAGCAAGGATATCCAATGCTGTAATCATGGGTCAGCGAAAACACAAACAGCAACTCAAGACTCTTACAAACTAAATGGCCTTCATATTCTTTAATGGCCGCCCGACGAGTGATCAGGAAGTCTCGGTTCAAATGCTGAGCCCACTCCTTTTCCTCCGCAGTTTCCCAAAAATCGCCATCTAAATCTTCCTCGGGTGGGATCACACCTTTCCAAATATTCCATTTGGCTTTTGCAATTATAGCGCCCGTGTCAGTATCCACGACTTTGAGAAATTTCGTGTGGGGATCGTTGTTTTTAATATCCCGAAAGCGGTTTCCACCACTAATTCTACCAGCCTCAGTATCATGATTTGGATAGACTGCCTCAATCATGGGGTGTCTAGTCCCGAACGCCTGGCAAAAGATCTCAAAGACCCGATGCATGTCATCATCATTACATTCCTCAACTTTGAGAACCATTGTGATGCTATGAGGAGTTTCTATTGACGCCTGATTCGGAAAATACTTAGTTGACTTGCGTACGTTTCCTCTCAGGTTCCGACTCATATATGCCAAGATTGATAAGATGACAAAGCGTGTCAAGAGTGGAGAGGCGTATTACTCCGTAGTCCACCGGATATCGGAATCGGATATAACCTTAATACGAGCTTACGCACATGCATATGCATAGTGATTTATCCCCACTATGACAGCGATGGAATATTTAACCGAGCAGACCATCTAGCAAGTAGCTCCTGATATATATCATGGCTCAGAATAACTAACTTCTTCCTTCAGGGCATATTTGCAAATAAAAAATCTCTCTCCTAGAGCAACAGCCTATTCTTTGGTGATGTCTCCTCAAAAAGGAGAGCTCTCGTTAGCTATAAAGGTATACTTAGTTCGCGTTCTTAGCCCTTTTGCCGTCATTATTAAATTTTCATCAATACATCTGCTTTGGTTCGTCAGTGCATTGCTTTTTGGCTTTCGTTGGCCTGTCTGTCTTTGCGGCCATTCTCTGAGTTCGCCAGGGAAATATTTGGTGGTTTCCTACCAAGCAGACGATGAGGGATGTCAACCCCAAATTTTCAATACCCACATCCATGTGACCTTGCACAAATTGTGTATGGCGAGCAACTTGCAGAATTCGAGACACCTCAAATGCAGTGAATGTATGATCTATTGGGATACTAGATCATTCCGTGAATACATTCGCGTCACTGCTTTGAGAGAAGCAGAGGTGCGATAATAAGCGTTAATCAATTCTTCGGTTGAGAGCCTCGGTTTTTGCAAGCAATCCTTCGATGATATCCTGAGATAAAAGTAGTTTTGCTCAGTCGTTGTCTCCAATGATTGGTTCTTGCTTGATATCGATAAACTAGAGAATGGTGAATGCTGCCGGTGTTTGTTGACTTAAAGCCGCATTCACACTCAGCAAGTTGAATGAGTGAATTATGAAAAAGCAGATAGCCGTTCACATTTTCTTTTTTTCTTCTTCGATCTATCAGTATATAAGCTGCCCAACAGATCCACACCTTCCTTTTTGTCAAACGTGTTAGATATCAGAGATGACAATATGCCTCGCAAGTATATCGTTTTACCAGCAGCATTAACAATACTTCTCCTTTTACTTACAGGGATGTTCATCGACATAGGTAAAGAGAAGAGCTTTCTGTTCGACTTCCCCATCATTTCCCTTGATACTACCAAGTTGAAAGATGATATCTTTCAGAGCAATAACTACACTCTACCAATCACCGATGTATTGAATCTATATTTTCGAACTCACTGTGAAGGAAATTATGTTTCCACACATAATATAAGCCCGAGGTTGAAGAATGTATCCTGCTCCGAGCCTTCATCTGATGGTAAGTTCCATTCGTCTACAAATTATCAATGAATGAAGAAAATTTCTAACATCATCAAGTCAAATTTCTTCCCGCCAACATTATCCATCTCCAACTCATCAAACCCAACTCTTCAGTCCAAATACAACTTCCAGACGACAACTTTGGGCATCAACTTGGCGAAATCCAGAATACATTCAAAAAATCATACCATGCAGAACTTCATGCGGCACTCACCATATATGCTACTGCGATCTGTCTAGAAGGCATTGTGTTGATCATGGCTTTTATATCATTTCTGGAATTTGATGTTGCTTGGATTTTCGGAGGTTTCTCTCTTGTATGTGTTATATCTTCTTCTTCTTCTTCTTCTTCTTTTTCTTGGCTTGAGTCACAAATCTTAGGACAGAATTCACGTCATGCCGCATTCTTGTGCACAGAGAATAAATACTAACACTAACAAACAAAATAGTTAACTACATCCTTCATCTTAATTGGAAACAGTATGACTACGGCACTTCAATACCAAGCGGTTACAACTATCAATAAATATGGTGAAGAAGTCGGAATTTTGGGGTATCGTGGGACGGGGTTGCTGGTATTAATTTGGTTTACCTTTGGAGTAGCTTCTGTTGCCTCGGCTGCTTGGGGATGGGGCGCGTGGATGATCAGAAGGCCCGATGATAGTAGTGAGACTTCGGATGATGCAGGTGTTTACATGAATTGCAGCAGAGATCCAGCGGAAGTTGGAATTGGTGAGCCAATGATGCTGGCTATGAGAGGAGGGAAAGCGGTAAATGTATACGAGGAAGGAATACGCATGGAACACGGGATTGATTTTGTTAGAGAAAGCCAGATTGGGCTTGCTCTATAAGTTAGCGGTTTGAAGTTCAGCGGGAGACATATATACATCTTATCCGGGCCATATCTCGATATAAGTCAGAGATGATTAAAGAAACATCACAGTAAAATGGTTGCGAAGCATTATCATTCATGTCGTCCAAAGGAGATAAATAACACACGCATATCTCTTAAGTTTCAAAAATGGCTCTATTATGCTCTTGGCGCTCTCTTCAATTCGATTTGAAATCTTCGCCCTGCTCGGCGTCAGAAATAATGATCCTTGAATGTCTTGTCAACCCTCACTTCACTATTATTCGCGCATCACTTGATCAATTGACCGATGCAGATAAGTACTCATCATGTATCTTTAATCTCAAAGTTATCAAACAGCAACCTTAGTAATAAATACAATATTAATTTTCAAGAACGCTCGTGTACCCCTATCTGTTGATTATGCAGCACCCTCTTCGCACTCGAGTCAAGAGCTGTATTTCTAGCAAGACGCAATAAAAAGAAGTCCAGGCCTCATTGATTCATCGGAGATGACTCATCGTCGCTCTCTGAACGTCAAATCAACCACAAAAGAATCTTGGAAGATACAGGGAAAGATCGAGTAATCTACCGAAATTCTAGCTAATTTATGCTTTGCACTCCTTGGATGCAACCCAAATGAATCACTCTCTCCTACTGCCTGAGACCTAAGCCCTTCTAACTTTGCATTTTGATGGGAAGATGCTATATCAAATCATGATACTCCTATCACGACGGCCTTTCTCTCTTAACCAAGGCTACTCACCATTCATCCTGATTGGAATAAGCTCTCATATAATCTCATGATTCTCATCTATACTATTTCCAACAGAAAGTATGACAGCGGCGCTCACTGCAATCTGGACATAGCAGATATGCCATCGCTGACATGGCAAAGAAAATTTCAAACGATGCAAGGGTAGAGAATCCAAGCATCAACCAAGACCTATGCATTGGGATACACACCTCATCGGTGCACCGAAACCGACCTCCAAGACCTACCAAGGCGGATACAAAAACGGCGTTCGTAATTATATGTATGGTAGCTTGAAATGATGCCTGAATATCTGAAATTAGTATAAATGTTAGAGAGAATAAAGACATATCTACATACCATATACATGTAAAATTTCACATCTGATTCAAATTCGACTTTGTTGGAAGGCTTACTACTTCTCAAAGTTTCAAGGCCCACCCAGAAAACCGTGGTACCAAATATACAAATGAGGATATAAAGAACAAAGAGCGCGGTGATGTTAGTGTACAGGCTTCTGTCAAGATAAGAATCTATAAATGTCAGTAGAGTATGAGCTTCCTCCGATAGATCCAGAAACTTACCGAGCCATTCAAGATGCTTCAAAATACTCTCCGGTAAATCTTGTCCGAAATCTTTTAGGATCATCATTCCTCCCTCTATATGAATGATCAGTGCATGCATTTGTACAACAATTGTTCTGAGACTTACCATAGTCTAGGCAAATCTTCTCAGTCACAAGATCCTGACTATCCGTAGTATTGTAATTGCTCTTACAGACCTGCGCAAAATAAAAGTCATACTGATCATAAGCGGATATTGGAGAGCCCGCAGCTAGCTTTAGATCTCTCGTATCTAACGATACAATTGGTTTAACCTTGAATCCCAGAAAAATGATAAGTATAATTGTGATATTGACCAAGATAGATGGTATTCCAACCAATGCTGAATTTCTTTGACACCGGGGCTGGGGTCTCATAGTGACAGTATGCTTTGATCTTTTTCGGGGTTGGCTTGGATTTCTGAAGGTGTAAAATTCTTGTTTTTCATAGGCTCACTCATATATTTTCAGTCTCATATACTGAATTGGAATGTATTCGCTAATCTAAATCTATGATTGGAATAATCCACCGGGTGATTGATATTTGGGTTTACCGCAGAGTATCTGATAGTCATACCGTACTGGGCAGGATCGGCTAGTACCTATGATAGAATACTTTTATAATGTATTAATCTAGACGAGCTAGTTTTAGGCTAGCTCGTCTGGACCCATCAGACCGTATCAGCCGTATCCCACAATATTCCAAACAGTCTTTCTGGGGCTTTTGATACTACAGTCGAGTTGGAACGTCAGGAATTTTCTTTATCAGTCAGCCCAAAGGCCGGAAACGCAGTCTATACTTCTCGTCTAGCTCTCAATATGCTAGCATAGAAGCGAATAGCCGGACTAATATCTGGAATGATCATGAAGTCTGACCATTTATTAATCGTTGAACACACGCCTATATATTTTATACCGTATAATAACAGTGCATTCGCCTTACAGGATACATCGAATGATATTTAATCGGACCATACTTGCCATTCACAAATTTGACACTTCATCTTTCCTCACAAACGAGTCGTGTCAATTTATAACAGAAACTCATATGCTTGCCCAACCTAGACTCATTGTGGAAAGACATTCTATAACTTCTCATTCATAATGGTCCCTAATGTGGTAATCTTTCGCTTCTGTGGTAAGTAGTTTACAAACAGGTGCACTGATCGGATTTAAACTATATATCAACACACTTCGCTTACAATACAAGATAAACTACGTCAAATTAGGATATTTTAATAGTAAATTGAGGCCCCATCGTTCTATAGGAGATAAATTCACAGTATAGTGCTAAACAACAGTTGTATCTAGTTCTTAAACTCCATATCCCTAAACCTTTTTTCCAGCAACTTCTTGTGCAATAGTGCTTCTGATTGCTACCCTTGATTCAAAGATGCAATATAAGATCACAGCATATCCGTAGAAATAACTGAAGTGAAACCTCCCACACTCGAATTGATAGATATCTATGCAATCTCATACCTTCTCATCAATGTAATATGACATTTCGTCCGAGACTTAAATCCAAGTCAAGCAACCCTCTGATAATAGCATGACAAATAAAGTTTTTACCCCTATCATCTGCAAAACCAATGCAGCCATAAAAATCCCGGCTGGACTCCAACTCGCGTGGACCGGAATACGAATCTCAGGAGTGCATTGCAAGCCGTGAATAGCGCGTGCTAAATCCCACACAAAGAAGATTTCATTCACATTGAGTGACACGAACTCGACGATGGTCTAGTTGCCAAATATTTAGTATAAGTTCTAGACAGGAATCAAGAGTGGTCTTACACAAGTCATTACGTAGACTCCTAGTGGAGGTTCGCTTTCCGATAATATGGTTGGTTACCAGGATAATTGACAAGCAAAGGAGAGGTAACAATTCGCCCCCAAAAAGTTGAAGAGGGAAATGACGTTTTTCATGAGCAGTTCAAGGAAATCACCTATGAAAATTAGTAAGATAGAACAGGTGAAGAATTTCGATGCCTTACCAAGCTTGAGGAGATCTTTCAAGGTTTCCTCTGGGACCCCGTGACTGAAGCGGAGGAAGATTTTCTCCCAGGTATAGTATTCGACTGGGGAAAGCTGTCAGCTTGTTTTCTTGACACTGTTGTTATTATTCACGCTTTGCTTACTAAATTTTAACAAAGCTGATTGGATGATTGATTGTCAAATCCCGCGATACGGTCATTCCTTCCGCAAATCTTTATGAAGTATATATCGTAATGGTCATAGACATTCTCGGGTGATCCCCTAGCTATCTTCAGGTCCCGCATATCTAATGATGGAATCGGAATAAAATAAAGTCCTAGTACGACGGTAACAATTAAAAGCAGTATAATCATAACCCCTGGAACTATGACCCACGTATAGGATTGTCTACACCAAGGTGTATTTCTCAGCATGATGATATGCTTTTGACCTAGGTATAGGTGTTAAATTGACTTATCGAAATGAAGCCTGGGAGCTCCGGTATGCTTTACTGTAACACAGGTAGTTTGGTGCAAAGAAACTCAAGTTATCGTGGTAAAGATTGAGGATGGTATGTAGCGTGACCATGTTTTAATGGCTAGATGAGTTTGCTTAAATAACTCCGGAATCTAAACTGACTGTACATGATAGTTTGCTACGTTGATGCTTATGCAATACTCGCAAGTGTGAAATATCTCATAAACTTAATGCAATTCAACATCGATCCTGTCACCCGAATGGAGGAGTTGCCGTATGTTGACTGCCACACATATAGGCCTCAGCCAAATTTCCTTGAGAAGTTGTCAATGTACTGTAATCATTTTAAGGGTACTTTTTGGATGAAAATTTGGGTAGAGGGGATATTCTTGGGCAACTAATTTTGGTTGGGAGATTTTGACAATGGTGGTGAATGGAAAACTGGAAGTGTAAGACTGAAAGAAGGTAGTGAATCTCTCTTGGAGATACAGGACTTCAACTACCCACCTAAGTATTCGCACCTTCATATTCTGCTATCCAGCTTCCCCCTTTTCCAGCCCTAAGATGATATTCATAAGGAAATCGTATGTATCATTAACAATAGGTCTGTTGAGGTACCTCCCAGTATTGAACGCCCAAAGTACAAAGCAATCCTATGATAGCGCAAGCTAAACTTACATTTCGAAGGTTCCAAAAATGACACCCATAAGATCGATGACTACAAGAAGAGGAAGACTGGGTAAACTATCTGAAACACAAAGTGTGTATCTCTTCTCAAGACTTGAGCTCCCACCACAAGATAGTGACAATATTGTCACTAAAGATATACATCGTCATGCGGTTCCAAACCATCACGTGCCTTCCTGGCAGAACGATGAAAAGGATCCTGCGGAACCAATAATTTTAACGTTAGTCTGATACTACCTGAACTCTCAGAGCTCCTGATATTAAGATGATTCATTATCTTGGTGTTTTTTCAAAAGTAATCCATTAAGAAGAAACGGCCAAGAAACCCAGCACAATCTATCCTCCCCTGCCTCTGAGCTTTAGAAATTTGACTATCTCCAGGAAGCTTTTTCAGTTCACCTAACTTATCTAATCCTTTATATAGGACATATACACTATTCACAATCAAGAAGTAATGTATGAAAGCCCTAATCATTTGTGCGATGTTTAAACAGTGTTCACACGGGACATGAATATGAGTCAAACCCAATGGGAAAACAACGAGTTTATTAGGTTCCCCAACATCTTGAACGCTCCCAAGATTAAAGAGTCTCAAATTAGACTATTCTCAAAATGTTTAAATACACTGCTCATTGCCATTCACCATAAATCTCAAAAGTCAGAAACTTCAACTAAATCCTACTAAACATCCGCCCGACCTTTAGGGTGAGATTAGTATCGAAGCCAAATATTTTACATTGCTTCACTAACTCTATAATCATAAACTTCAACCTGAGCCACGACCGTATCCTGCAAACGTTGGAGGTGGAGGCCCTGAAGGTCGCGTTACGTATGCACCTGGAGGTGGGGGTGGAAATGGAGGTCCTTGAGGTTCCCGTGCGTAAACAGCTGGAGGCTGCGCCATTCTCGTTCCAAGAGGCATCGGCATTTGCATCGAGGCCGGGTACTCTCTCGTGATAGGCCTGAATTCCTCTTCCCTAATATTTGGGACCGGGATCTGTGATCGTTCAGCCTCCTCATTATAAATAGGACGTGAATCCCCGTCATCTAGAGAATATCGACGTGCATTCTCACCATTTTCTGGAGTAACCGAAAACGTTTGAATCGCTCTCTCGTTCTTAAGTGTTCCTACAATCAGGATCTCCCTACTCACGAGACTGAAGAGCACTGCCGTGAACCCCAATCCAATAACGCTAGTACTGATATCTACAGTGATTTTGTCTTCACTAACAGACTGAATTTGCCACCGATAATCGATCAAGATCCATGGACAGGCGATTGCAGCCGCAAGCAAGGTGAAGAAAGACATCTAGATGCATTCCATGAGAACATATCTGTCAAAAAAGTGACAGGGAGAAAGAAGGATGTACATACAAAAGCCATCGCATTCTCGATTTTGGGATGATGTAGATGATTCAAATGAACCTTTATACCGAAGAAGCCATGGGCGAGATGGGCGAGGCCACTCAGAAAAAATAGGGCGAAGATAATTCTAAGATTTGGAAATCCTGCGGGTAATCACATTTTAGTGAAGGATCAACATGAAAAAACCGAATATCAACTCCAACAGTGGGTGTTACCAGCAAAGAAAGCATCATCAGAAAGAACCGCCGGTAAATACCCTAACAAAAAGTGTTAGCAGCTTCTACGAAAACAGATCGAGCATATTAAACTTACCATGACAGCCGTCATTGATCCCATCAATCTTGGACCGGCAAACTGTAAAGAAATAGACTTTATATAAATCAAACTCCTCAGAAGGGGCGTATAACTGTAGGAGCCGGCTCGGCTCAGATAGAGATCCCACAACGAGAATAGTAATGATGAACGCCACAACCAAAACGACGAGAAATATTTGAAAGTACTTTGGATGTGTCTTGACCTTATCCGTGAACTTCCTATGAATCTCCATTGTAGTTAATGTTTGAGAGATGGTTTGTTTGCTTGTCGTGGTATTTTATCTTCGAGGTTTGGGTATCCTGTGTTGTGATAGTTGAGAAGTTAACAAGTTGGAAATGAAATTCCTCAACTTTTGTATGACCTAGTGTGGAATCCAAGAGTCATAATACATTTGGTCTTGACTTCGATGAGTAATACCCAGTCACTTGAATTTGATTTTACCAACTCTGACTCTTTACCGTGTGCGATTCACTGGAAATACACGAGCATGTGCCGCTCAAAGATGGAGAATGTCATAGTTCTATATCTTCTCAACCATGAATTGGAATAATGCTGACTACCATTGCCATTCATCAACCTTTCTTACTCATTCCGCACGGTTAATGCTGCAGGAGCCCATCTCGCCAGAGCAAGGACATTTATTGTGCATGCATATTTCTTACTGTAGCGTCGCAAAATGGCGAGGATGAAGGTTATGACGCCTGGAAAGCTGGGGATAGCGTATGGATCATTTTGATCATTGTGATCATCAACGGATGTGATCTGGTGTCAATAGATGTGGTGTCCTATGTAGGAAAACTTCATTTAAAACTTCATTTCAAACTCTTCAATATAATTCGAAATGAAGGTATATACCACGGTGCTTGCTATTATGAAAACCACTCTTCGAGTCCCAGACTCACAGCACTACTGGAGTGAGTTCTCCTAATTCGGAACAAAATCGCACAGATTGAGATAGAATTCCGAGAGAACCCAACATCAGGAGAAAAGCAAATCTCAAGCGAGAACTATTTTAAGAGCGATGAATCAAAACGCCACCACAATTCCTCAATGTTCTCCCTGCATAAACGACTGAGACAACAGCACAAAAGCAAAAAGACAAGGATAGGAAAGAGCCAGATAAACCATTTCAAACCCTCAATCCGCATAAAATCATCACTAGGGTTTCCGATCTTTCCCTATCATCTCTCGAAGATGCTCTTCAATTTCCTGTCAGGAGCACACGGTGTACCGTGGAAATTTATATTTCTATGCATCTCAGCGCTGGTTATGGTTCATTACGTGTTGGTGGATATTCCGCCTAGTGATGAGTCTTTACCAGAGACATCAAAGTCAGTTGAAGCAACAGATATACTACCAAGTCCGACGCCTCCGAAACATGCAGGCTCTGCAGGAACTTTCGATGAATTCAAGGCAATGCTCGGTATCTTTGGTGGAACGGAAACCTCGAATTCAGAAGACGCGAGTCTCTCAGAGGATACAATGAGTTTAGGAACAGTAGGACCCGGTCATAAGTTGAAGAAACCATTCCTCGGATCGAAGCAGGATACTCGAGATGATGAATATGTCTCTGTTTGCATGGCAGTTAAAGATCAGCAACAAGACTTACCCGAATTCTTCATTCACCACTACTATCATCTTGGAATAAAAAGATTCTACATCATGGACGATGGTTCTGATCCACCTTTGTCGGAAATGGAGGATTTGGGTATACCTCGAGAGCATGTAACATTCCAATACTTCAACAAATCAGAACATACGTACTACATGCAAGAACACGTCTACAAACTTTGTGTCGAAAAGTACCGGAGCAATCACACTTGGATGGCTTTCATAGACGCCGATGAATATCTGGAGATGACTGGAAAAGAAAATCTGAACGAGTTCCTAGAATCTTATGAGGAAGATGAACACGTCGGGGCAGTATATGTATCTTGGATGACACATTCCTCTGCTGGCCTACTAAGCAGACCCAAGTCTGTGCGCCAGGCCTACATTGATTGTGTATGGGACGGAGAAGGACATAATGTGCTAGGTAAAACCATTGCCAAATTGTCACTTTATGCTGGCCCAAACACCGTCCATCAGGTCCGATGTAAGGACGGAGCGATAGTTGTTGATGAAAACGGGATCAAGGCACCTGTGAGACGATATTCGCCCACGAGAGATCGAATAGCACTGCATCATTATGCGCTGAAGAGTCGAGAGGAATATCAAGAGAAAGTTGATCGCGGGAATGCTATGAGTACACCGAAAAATTGGGGATTCTGGGATAGCGTTGAAGGTATGGCAGGTATAGAATGTCTTTCCATGACAGAATATTATCCATGAATAAGAATCATCCAGGATGAGCTTTGGAAGCATTCGAAGTGTGTATTAGTACTTTTGAGATCGACAGGAAATTTGTACTTAATACAGATTTGTATTTCCCAATTTAAAGTGCGTTTATTGTATTTATTAATTATCTCTGTGTCCAATGGTGTTGTTTTGGAGTTGGTCGATGGTGGTCCCAAGTCACTAATCGGGTGCCAGGTGGAGTTCCATGATCTTCATTCACTCCTCTGATATGATCTGTTAATTGTGTTCGAGTTTCCTCGATGCAGACTGGTGAATACCATTCTCACAAGTAGATCAGACCAGGTGTTGCTACTTTCTGTATCAGAACAATATCCCGGAGACTTGGACTTCCTGATGGGGCAGTCTCTCACACAACAAAGCGTCGAGTCTAGAGCAGGCGATGGGATTTTCCGGTCATGAAAAGTCTCAATGATAGAAATGCTGGATTCCATGCTTGCATCGTGAAAGTCCAGCTTTCTGAAGGCTGCTTCAAGACTCTCTGGTTTCTCAGTCTTGACGAAGGGTGTGGTAGTCAGCTTGATTGAATGCATTCCGAAATTGTACCTACATAGATACCTCCACGAAGTTGTAAATTGAGTGGTAGGTACTCGAGTAGATTTATCACCATTCTTCTTTTGGTCGATGTCGACTTGTTGCCCAGACTCACGGTTCGCATGATGATGAAGCTGTGGACAGTTAATGATGCAGATCTTGAGCACATTTCATGGGTTTTCAATGCCGCCTTTGAGTGCTTCAGCTGTCTAGGAATAAGCTTTGAGGTCAGAGACGTGGAAATTGGTAAGGGATGAGATAAGAAATGATTTTAAATTTTAAAAGCGGCAACAAAGTGAGTGAGTTTTGGTAACTTTTAAACTATATTAAGTTAGTCTGAGCGTGTTTGAGCACTTTATTTATCCACCTTGGCACCTTTTCAACACCACCTTCTGAACTGGTTAAAACAACGATGAATAATAATTTGAGCAAGATAGAGCAAAAAGGGTAAAAAAGAGGTAGGGAAACAAGGTAAATATGCAAAGAGCCACGAAATCTTCTCACTTGCGGGCCATGATTCTTTTGGAATAACCTTTGAAAGTTTTGATATCTCTCTATACATGCCCAGTGATTGTTTGACACTCACTTGAATATTCACTTCAAACAACAGCCTCAGTATCAAACTCAACCTTGACGGCCTCACTCACCCAAAGCAACAATTGCTTCTTCCTCGTCTTCATCTGATCTCTAGATATCCATCAGACTGGACATACTGAAACCTTCGCAACGAAATCGCCTATTCGGAATACATTCCTAGGTAGTACTAGGTATTCAGAGCCTCATACCTTTCTCCCCCGGATTTTCATGCAAAGGAATCTAGAAACATACACTTCCAACTGCCTCAGATCCACTTGTTTGCAAATATCTACCTCATAACTTCTCATCGTTCTTACCTCGACTATATTAAAGAGTTCCTGTCCTCTCTGCCTTAACATCATCATTCAATCAACTCAAGTTACTACTACAATAATCCATTAATTCTTATTTGCATCACACGATCCGCCGGCGGTTCATACAGCATCACTACAAATATCCATACATTTATTTCCTCAATAAAACTTCTACTATCACCCAATCAAACTCTCTATCAACCTTCAGCCAAGATGGATATGACAACTTCAGACATGGATATGACCACCATGTCCACCATGTCAAACACAACCACAATGGACATGTCCATGATGTCAATGACCTTCTTCATCTCCAAAACCACCGCCCTCTACTCCACCATGTGGACACCAACAACCGATGCCGGCTATGCAGGAACCTGTATCTTTCTCGTTCTCCTCGCTACACTCTTCCGCGGACTTCTCGCCGTCAAGGCCTGGAAAGAAAGCGCATGGCTTGCCGAAGAAACCAATCGTCGCTACGTTACCGTTGCTGGAAAGGGTCCCAAATCCGAGCGTATCAGCATAGACAGCGATTCGAAGAATATGACACTTAGTGAGAATGGCGTTGAGGAGAATGTAATGGTTGTTAAGACACGTACTATGGGTGTTAGACCATGGAGATTGAGTGTCGACCCTGTGAGAGCGATTATGGATACTATTATTGCTGGTGTTGGCTGGTTACTGTAAGTTTTTCTTCACACAATCTCTTTGATTTTTATTGAATATGGACTAATTGAGAAATAGTATGCTCGCCATTATGACTATGAATCTCGGATATTTCTTGTCTGTCTTGGGCGGTACATTCCTTGGAAGTTTGGCATTAGGTCGTTATGTCATTGCTTTTGAGCACTAGACATATCAAATAATAAACAAGCAACCTATAGATGTGCTGCGGCAGGCAAGCAGCTTTATAGGATTTAATTTAATGATTATGATCATGGGATAGGATGGGGATGGAGAATGGGAGAGGAGTTCAGGGTGAAAGAGCGCACATCATTTCAATTAGAGAAATGGTTGGTGTTTTGACTCAGGGGAGGGATTTGGGTATTATGACTCGTTAATGAAGCATGATTGTTAAATTACCTGATCGATCGATTACGATGTGATAATTTTTTGGCTGGGTTTGGAATTTTTGAGAGAGGAGTTGGGGATTAAAAAGATGGCATAAACATTGCTTATTAGCATGAGCATCAGCATGAGCATTAGCATGGGAGAAGTGCCATTGGATGATGATGATGATCAGAGAGCTTGTATAGATTCAGACAGATTACAAATATATCAAGAAGAAAAAAACACTTCAAAATAAGCTCTATTCCCATCTTGCGGCGATGCCACACATGCATATCCTCACTTCCAATCCAATCCAATCCAATCCAATCCAATCCAATCCAATTCAATCTACCATCTAAAAAACGCATTCAAACTCCCATAGCCATCATCTCGTTCTAAATCTCAAGCATAATCATATCATCACACCACAATACTAAATAGTTCCTGCGTCTACCCGTTCAACTGCAGTATGTATGTATGTATGTATGTATGTATATACAACCTCACCTCGCACAAACCCCTGTCGCGAACCTACACCGCTTGGAGTTTGTGTCGCGGTTTTTATTTCTGTGAGGTGTGACGGGGAGAGGAAGAGGGGGAGGAAAAGTCTGGGTTTGTGTAAGGAGTTGTGGATGTATGTTGTGTGTTTATGTGGGGAGCCGGGTGTACGGGGAGGGGACGGGGAGATGCAGTGTCAATGTTGTGTATTGTACGGAATGGTACGAGGAGAGTAGACACGAGGCGATATGTAGGTATGAAGGCGATGCACATGTGGAAATTGGGGGGTGAGGGAAAGATTGGGAGGGAGGGGCGAATAGGTGGATAGGTGGTGTAACGGGTTTGGAGACGTAAAATGGGAGATGGAAGATGGAAGATAGAAGTAGATGATGGTATTGGGTATTAGATACTGTCAACGTCAGGGAATGCAATAACGTATGTAGATGTATATAAATTTAAGCATTCTTCAAATCTAAAAAACACAATCAAGTTTCTTCTGAAAAATAGACATCGCCAGAAATTCTCACAATCCATCTTCACATTTCCTCCAAATCCAATCTCTTAAGGGTCTAGACATCTTAGAAACTTTACTCATCTGTTATATCTCAATCCGAATCTGAATCCAGTCCAATCCAGACCCTACCCATTCCATTCCATCCCATTCCAAATCCAGCAACCTCCCCTCCTACTTCGCACCAAACCAACTCCCTCGCCTACAAACTTCACCTTCGCAGTACCTAACCAATCCACTATTCCAGCGTCCCATTTCTCATTCCCAGCCAACAACACGACACGTTTGACTACTGTCTTGTATCAACATCCCAACCCTATTTTCATCACGCCACCATATCAAGCCATCATATCTGTCTCTACCTCTATTCTACCTCTTCTACCTCTACCTCTAGCACTAGCGCTAGCGCTACCTCCTCAAACCTCTTAAGAAAGAAAGCCTCCCTTCCACCCAGGGCAGATGACATGAAACCGAGCATGTTTTGAACTCCACGAGGTGATCATGTAGTGAGAATTTGAGATAAGAAGAAACATTGTGCTCATATTATCTCTATTTTGCTCTCTCTTATTTCTCATGATTGTTATGCTTGATTTTTATTTTCTGTTACGTTTCCTACCCACCGATCTTGCAAGTGGGCTTGGGTGAAAACTTTGATGAGGGAGATTCTAGGGTGTGGTGTGGTGTTGTTTGATCATGGCATAGTTTATGCTGGATTTGAGAAGGGTTTCGAGAGAAGAGAGGAGATGTGGGGATGGAGAGAGCATGTTTGTTGAATGTGCTCATTTTCTCAGATTCTCGGATGCTTGGGAGGATGTACATTTGAGGGTATGAGAGGAGATTGTCTGTTGGGTTGCTATTGGGGACTTTTGTGGTGAGGATATAAGTATAACAGTAAGCCATGCTGCGACTATATTTTGTAGCAATATCATCTAATATCATCTAACCATATCTTGAATCTCAATCCGATAATAAATTACCTCTCACATCTCAAATCAAAAATGTACACCACAACCTCCCTCTCCGCGCTGGTCGCCCTCTCCCTCCCGCTCCTAAGCACCGCCCATTTCCTCCTCTCCTACCCCGCCTCTCGCGGTTTCAACGAAGACACACTTTCCCAATTTCCATGCGGAGGACAAGATACCGTATCTAGTAATCGAACCCTCTGGCCTCTATCTGGCGGTTCCATTGCTCTAGACATGGAAGATGCATCTGCGAATATCGAGGTGCTGATTGCTTTTGGTAATAATGTGGGAAGTGCGTTTAATACGGTTTTGCGACAAACTTTTGCCGAGACGGGGACGGGAAGTTTTTGTATGCAGGATTTGGTGGTGGATGGGGTGGGGTGGAATGTGACGGAGGGGATGAATGCTACGATTCAGGTTGTGACTGGGGAGGCGGGGACGAGTGGGGGGTTGTATAATGTGAGTTTGGCAGGTTTCTGTGGGGGTTGTGATGAAATGGGATGAGATGGAATGAGTTGCTAATGAGATTCCATTACAGTGTGCTGATATTACTTTCTCGAAAAATGTATCGATGTCTGTGGGAAGTTGTTCGAATGCAACGGATGTAAAGACTACTGCGGCGACAGTTACAGGGAATCCGAATACGACGTCGACTTCGACGGAGTCTAGTTCTGGGGTAGCTGCATTTGGAGGAAATTATAGATCGGTGGGATTGGTGGCTGCTGGTATTGTGATTGCTTCTCTGTGGTGATGTTGATATATATCATATCATGCATAGCATACGTAACCTAGTGTACACTGTATATAAAATAATATAATATTTTTGCTGGCAGACGTCTTCATTACTGACTGATTGCTAAGAGAGCATGAAAGATTTCCTTCTCAAAAATGATAGATAGCTAGGAGAAGCCAAGATATCCTTGATAGGTGTCGTGTAGAACATTGCATGAAACTATACCAAAACATTACTGAAGTCTTGGACCCGGGATACTTCTTCACGTACGGAATAGTCTTTTGCCTCCACTTGATGGCTGTATTGTTGTTCACTTGAATGTAAAAAGAGACTTTGGAGGTTCTCTTTGTGCCTCTTAATGACGTAACTCTATCCTGTTGTCGATCCAAGCCGGAGATCTACTCATATGTAGTGATGAATTTCTACTCCCTTTATGGTGGTATCCAAACAACCGAACACGTTAATATCCCCTCCCTCCCCTCACCAAGTGATCGGAGCCAAAGCATGAAACGATGCGTATATCGGAATACGCCATGAGACCGACAAACCGACCTCGGTCCCAACTTTCCTGTGACCCGGAAGCATCAAGAACCAATTATTGGCACTACAAATCAAATGCGATCATCGGACAGATGCGGAACGAAACCCGGACACAATTTCTACACGCAGTGACAATTGTTACTCGACTTAATCGAGTAATGCAATACATTTACATGCCTCGGCTTATCAAAGTCTAGGCGATAACAGATAACCGGACTTTTACACGGGTTATCGCCCGAGGATAACCAGGGTTGCATTTTTACCCAGCTCCTAGCAAGCATTTGACAGGGTGTGCAGGGCTGGAATTTGTATCAGAAGCAGAAGAAGATCTGGAAGAAAGTTCTCTGGGAGGTCTCTCCACATGCAAAAAAGTCAAATGAATGAATGTCACCATATCAAAATGAACATTTGATTGTTGAGGAAGATATGAAGATATTTGTTACCCAACAATTTGTTTATATACACACACACATATATGTGAATCTACCTAGGTAGTTGATAGTGAACAATGTCATTGACTAAAAACTCTAATGAAAGACGATATCGACATTATCTATTGTGTCAAAGATCTATGATAATACTTGGGTACCAATGATTGAATGAAATCTTTATCGTCATCAGGAATGAAGTAGTACCTAGTAGGTACAAACAAACAAGCAAATCCATCATCCATCCTCCATCCTCCATCCTCCATCCATAAAGAAACAAAAACGTAAGGCGGCGACAACCGAAAAAAGGCATTTCCCCACATTCACAAGCTTAATTCTCAAAGCTTCTAACCAAAAGCTATCTTTCCCCTCCACCCGAGTGGCATGCTGCTCTTGGGCTAAGGAACTTGCATGCCGAGTGGCTCCTCATTGCCGCGACCAAGCTCCTAATATACTAGGTAGTCATAGCTATCTTTCCTCTCATTCCCCTCATGCATCTTTGAAGTTTTAAGTTGAAGTTTCTTTCATATCTTCTACATTTCTCAATTCTTTCTCATTCGACATCTCGCTTGACATCTATCTGATATCATCCTCACATCGAACATATATCTACAATATCAAATCTCACTTCTATCCATATACCCATCCAAAGAGTTGTCCAAGATGTCTCAAGTCGAAGCTCAATTACAGGGCGTGAACATTTCCGGATCTATTACAGATTCAAATAAAAAGATTCTCAGCAAAGATGCTGTTGCATTCCTTGCTCTCCTTCACAGATCCTTCAATGGCACCAGGAAAGAGTTACTTCAACGCAGAGTCATCAGACAAGCCGAACTGGATAAAGGTGCTCTTCCAGATTTCCTCCCCGAAACAAAACATGTCAGAGAGAACGATGCTTGGAGGGGAGCACCACCTGCACCGGGATTGATTGACCGTAGAGTGGAAATCACTGGTCCTACTGATAGGAAAATGATTGTTAATGCTTTGAATTCGAATGTGTGGACATATATGGCCGATCTCGAAGGTATGATTCATGTATTCCAATATTAAATATTCCTTCAAATCCAAATACTAACTTCCTCATAGATTCCAGTGCTCCAACGTGGGATAATATGATCAATGGACAAGTCA